AGTGGTAGAGAACGCGTTAAACTCGGAGCGCTCTTGCGGCTGTCTAACTGATCCGCCAGTGGATCTTGTTAAGGCATACTGCCAGCCAGCCAGCCAGTTGAAGATTGAACCCCTACTGTAAAAGTAGCCATAGTACATAAACAGATGTGCTTCAAAAAGCTGTTGAGAGTTGAATCACTTCAGCTTTTGTGATGACAAAAAGTCTAGGTAGGCAGCTCACTAGAGTTTGAAAATTTTGATGTGGAATTATAAAAAAAAAAAAAAACGTAAATATTAAGACATTTTAAATGTACTACTGAATCATTTTAATAAAATGGTACAATGCCGTCTTTCTGTCTCTCATCAGGGTTGCTTGTGGGTGTTGTCCTGCGTTATGCTATTCATGTTCCCAGCGACATGAACAATGTTACACTGAGCTGTAATGTTAATGCCAGTCCAGCCACACTGCTGGTGAATGTCAGTGGTAAGTTCTATGAGTACACACTGAAAGGAGAGATCAGTGGCAGTGAAATCAATGACATTCAGGACAACGAGATGCTCCGCAAGGTAAAATATCACATCACAACAATCATACAGCAGTCATTTGACCTACAACACAGATTCAGATGAATTTGAATCGAAAGCTGGACTTAAACCACAAAGGTTATGAGGAACTCTGAATTTATTTGAATATGACTCATACTTGCATCTTTTTTTAGATAAATAGCCAGTCTGTTTTGCTGAACTCGGTAGTGTTCACTAGGCGTTTCAAACAAATTCCTGGTTTAACTTTGTACCAATAATTTAATTACACACACACACACTCACACATACTAATTCAGTGCCTGACAAACTGTTATTCTCTGTTAGAACATGCCCCTCACATGACAGATGCATGAAACTGTTTCTGTCTTAGTCAAAATGTTTAAGAGTTGCGTAATTTCAAAAATGCCAAATACATTCGATGTTTGGTCGAGCTGAATTTAGACTTGATTGGCCCGAATAGTCTCCAGTCAACAAACTGATGAGAGGAAATAGCTTACATTTTTAATGTGCTTTCTTAGAAATCCATTTTGAAAGAAATTAATACTTTTATTCATCAAGGACACATTCAACTGATCAAAAGTGACAGTAAAGATATATAATGATACAAAATATTTTCAAATGTGAAATTAATGCTGATTTTTTTAAAACTTTCTATTCGTCATTGAATATGTAGAAATGTATCACAGTGTCCACAGAAATATTAAGCCGCACAGCTATTTTCAACACTGCTAATAAATGTTTCCTGAGCAGCAAATCAGCATATTTTAGAATGATCTCTGAAGGATCCTGTGACACTGAAGACTGGAGTAATGATGCTGAAAATTCAGCTTTGATCACAGGAATAATTACATTTTAAATTTTCCTGTTTTACTATATTTATCAAATATATGCAGCCCTAGTGAGCATATAAGAGATTTCTTTCTAAACATCAAAAAATCTTACTTACCCCAAAATTTTGAACAGTAATGCAATTTTTTAAACCTTTTCTTATTTGATCAAAGGTGAATGAAATGCCAATATCTGAATCATTCTAATTCTGTTTCAGGTGACCTTTGACCCAGAGGTCTTCTTCAATATTCTCTTGCCTCCTATCATATTTCATGCTGGATATAGTTTAAAACGAGTAAGAGCTGTTTTTTAAATCATTAATACAGACCAGATGTTGTGTGCACAAGATAACGTACTGCTCAGTGTAGATAAACCAAAGCTCATTATTCGTTTAAATAATGTGTCTGTGTTTCAGAGACATTTCTTCAGGAACTTGGGCTCCATTCTCGCCTACGCGTTTGTGGGAACCGTGGTGTCTTGTTTCATCATTGGGTCAGTGTATACAATGTCTTTTGTCAGTGATTTTTGAAGTGGTTGCTCCAGTGATGAGGGTGAGAACCAGCGTACAGAGGTGTGCGCTTTATTTTCCAGGTTGTTTATGTACGGCTGTGTATTGCTGATGAAGCAAATTGGCCATCTGGGTGGCGATTTCTTCTTCACTGATTGCCTTTTCTTTGGTGCCATTGTCTCAGCCACTGACCCAGGTACTACAGTCAGAGTCCCTGTAACAGTGCCTAAATGCAGTCCTCGGATGTTTTAATGTGTATTAATCAAACATTTATTTGGAAAATTAGGTATGTGGTCTCGTCTTTTTTGTTTTTTTGTAAGAGGGATGTGTTATGGAATTTCTAAACTAAGCCTAGATTTTTTTTTTCTAGCAGAATTCATCTGCACTTATTGAAGTCTAGTGCTATGTTCGTTTTAGGAAATTATTATAATTAAGTTGTATATCAAAGCGATTTGTTGTCTGGAAGTAACCCGTTTCAAAGCTCAGTCCTCATTGGTTCCCTGTACAGGAATAAATCTAAAAATGATAGTACCAACACAAATTACAGTAAAAATATGTTCGTATGTTAATGGATTTTATTCTTGCATGGAATGGAATTGTGACATTGCAGATATTCTATATGCCATTGTTAAATTATGCATAATTACATAATTAAAAAATGCATGGTACTTTGTGTCACGATTATGCCCTGGCAACATTTGAACATATTTTTAAATACTCAATGTAAAATTGAGTTTGAAACTCTCCAGACACTCCAGACTTCCTTTAGAAATTGCATTAGAATAGCAGATCAGATGAAATGGCAGATCGCACCAAGTTCTAATGCAGGATTGGTCGGCAATGTTTGTAAGGCGGGGCTTTGTTTTGTAGTGACAGTTCTGGCCATCTTCAATGAGCTGCAGGTGGATGCTGACCTATACGCTCTGCTGTTTGGAGAAAGTGTTCTGAATGATGCCGTCGCTCTCGTACTGTCCTCGTAAGTCCTCTACTGCTCATGATTATACACTGCCATATTTACAAACTGCTTTTTTTAATTCACTAATATTATATGACTGTTTTGGTTTTTTATAAACGCAGTGCAGAATGAATAATTAACACTTTTCATTTAACGTCCGATTCTTTCTCTGCTGGACCTTTCATCTGCTCCAGCATGCTGCTTTATTATGGGAGGCAAAGTGGGGCGGGGCATCACAGCCCTAGAGGTGTGGCTTATACAGAGGGCGGGAACCAGACACTGAGAACGCCCCTCAATGGGTGTGCTGCACATGTAGCTTTGAGCCTGCCGAGTGGCTTTTTAGTGTGTGCATTGACTGGTCTGTACCAGAACATGCATGGTAAATGACCCACAGTTATGCTTCACACCTGCACCTGCAAGTAAGCTAAAGAAATCTCTGAGTAGTGTATCATTCCTCAAAGAAGAAGAATCCTTTTCTACTTTCATTTGAATTACCTGTAGGGGAAATCTGCAGGTTATTAGCTTCACAGTTCTAGAAGGTGTGGATGGGGCAGAGCTGTGGGGATTTGCCGATTGGATGATAGCCATTTGCTTTATAGTTTGAAGTGATGCTGTGGTCCTCTAGAACGTTTTCTCTTGTTCCTGCCTGTCCTGAATACTAAAAATGTCATTTATTAATTTGAGCTTATCATTTGTACATCAGGTACATTTTAAAAAGCAATTAAAGTTTTATATCATTATAAAGGTCATATGAAGAATCAAACCTTCCTTGGTCTTTCAGAACTTCTATCCTAATACATGGAAAATATGTATTTAAATTAAGCTGCAAAACAACAACTCCTGAGCTATAAGAGCAAAATATGGGAAAGTTCACCAAAACTCTTACAGATGATGTAAAGCGAGTTTGGCGAATACCAACATTAGTTTATTTTCAGTAAGGTTCCCAATCACTTAACCATTTATGTGGTATGTTTCAGCAACAGTTGTTTTCTGAATTAATTATGAAGTTAAAAACTACAGCAAACCAGCCTTTGTTTTAGTAAACAAAAGAGCTCATTTAACATTTCCAATCTAAGGATCAGCGATAAGTTGGACAAACTAAATTACACAGGGACTTTGCTGACATTATGGACCTCAGGGGAAAACAATAGATGATAGAAAATGTATAATATGACCTCTTTAAAGAAAACTGCAGAGACTGGGAAATAGTGGAAAATAAATTGAATGTCTTTGCAGAGCACACCTTATCTGATACGTGTTTAGATGTAAAAAAAAAATTAGCATATTTTCCAGTCCTGCTCATAGTCATAATGTTAATGTTTGTTATGGATTTCCAGTAGCAGATGGAACTGTTGCATCATTGTAAAAATAGAAGAACAGAGAAATCTCCTTCTTTAAAATTCTTAACTCTTTTAGATTTCTGTAAGTTTGAGATTAAAATTACTCTCATGTGTTCAAATCATACAATGTATGAGTTTGTGTGGATGTATCTGTGTTCTTTTCACAGGTCAATCGTAGCATATCAGCCTGAGGGAGACAACACTCACACGTTTGAAGCCATGGCCATGCTGAAGTCCTTTGGCATCTTCCTGGGGGTCTTCAGTGGTTCTTTTGCTCTGGGAGGGGCAACTGGAGTCGTAACTGCATTGATATCCTTTAATGTTTCAATTTTGTATGTCACTTATTTTTGTTATAACACATTTGTATGGTGTGTGTGGTGACTATTCTGATAAATAAATGGGATATGTTTGAATCTCACCTGTGGCATGTATAGATCTCATTCTTCTTTCTATTTGATTTTCACTATTAATGTTAAATAATGCATTTAGAAGTTTCTTCATCCCAAGGATATTTTCGTTGACTCCTTTCCACGTTACCAAGTTCACTAAGCTTAGGGAATTGCCGTTGCTGGAGACGGCACTGTTCTTCCTCATGTCCTGGAGCACATTCCTACTGGCCGAGGCCTGTGGATTTACAGGTGAGCTTGAGTTGAAACTCCCATTGAGTCTTCTAGAAACTGTATATAAACATATCGCAAACTCCTACTGTATAAATGAATGCTGTTTCTACTCTTCTTGTTGTGTTTCTAAGGTGTGGTGGCAGTTCTGTTCTGTGGAATGACACAAGCCCATTACACCTTTAACAATCTGTCTCCTGAATCTCAAGACAGGACAAAACAAGTACGTATTTTATGCTGTTTCTCATTCCACTCCCTAGTGTGTATGATGCACACTAACATTTCAATTCTTTTGGGGTTGGTGAGATTGTTTAATGTTTATGTCTTTTATGCTCACCAAGGCTGCATTTATGTGATTACAGTTACAGTAACACAGTAATATTGTGAAATAATATTGCACTTTACATTTAATATTACATTTGAAAAGAATGACCTTCTGTTGTACATCAGTCTTCAGTGTCACATGAAGAGATATTTCTTCTTATTATCAAACATTTCTGCAGCTTAAAATCTTGTGGAATCCATGGTACATTTTTAGGATTATTTAATCAATAGGAAATTCAAAAGAACAGTGTTTATATGAAATAGAAAGCATTACATTATAAATAATGTTATAAATGTCTTTCGATCAAGTTAATGCACCATTCCGAAATAAAAGTATAAATTTCTTCCCAAAAAAATCTTGTACTAGCAAGGGCCTTGATCTAGTAAGCACTGGGACACTGATGACTCAATTACATACGACACAATTGATGTTGCAACATGATTATGATTTTTTTTTTAACCTTAGTAATCCTTTAACTATAAAAACTGCTGAGCAGCTTTGCTGAACTTGTCCAAAGTTAATAAAGCAAGAAGCCCAAAGAAGCCGTGGTTTACAGTGAATGTATAACAGCTAAGGGGCGTTGTTAGGCACGACACAAAGCGGAGTTAGGTAGTTAGGTTTCACAAAATAAAACGGAGCAAATAAACAGTGGTGGCTCGTGGGTTTTAAAATATACTAATTGTATAGGTCTGGGATCCCTGCCGATTATTATTATTATTTGCTTAACCACTTTAAAATGGCTTTTTGGTTGCTTTTAGTAAAGAAAATGACATACATACAGCAAGATAATATAATTGCACTTACCTGGACTATCACTTGAAGCAAACATCCATCCCTTCTTAAAAGTCTGTGTTAAAAGAGAGCTGCCTGTTGTGCCATTTAATTAAGCCGACTGCTGTATAGCCTATATCCAGCTTAGGCTGTTTTCCCTTTTTTTAAATTTGTATATATACTGTTTGAATGACAGTTTGGTAAATCTGTTGGCGATCAAATATTCAATATCGCTACTCATCATAAGTAGGCTACTTGGTACATTATCAGCGCAGCAGGAGACGTTCAAACTAATATCATGTAATTTACGTCTCTGTGATGATTGGTTGATATGAGAAGGGAGACTAGTCTCCTCTGCAAGGTTTCTTTTCTCAACACTCCTCAGCGCTGAAACTGAACACTCGATGCTGATTGGCTAATTTTTTTTTACCAACGGAGGCACGAGAGCTCCGTGCTCCCCCAGCCTCCCCCTACCCTTCTCTATCATTAGCGGTTGCAATTACATCAGCAGATTCGGCACATTCGCGGCTTAACCACTTTAAAATGGCTTTTTGGTTGCTTTTAGTAAAGAAAATGACATACATACAGCAAGATAATATAATTGCACTTACCTGGACTATCACTTGAAGCAAACATCCATCCCTTCTTAAAAGTCTGTGTTAAAAGAGAGCTGCCTGTTGTGCCATTTAATTAAGCCGACTGCTGTATAGCCTATATCCAGCTTAGGCTGTTTTCCCTTTTTTTAAATTTGTATATATACTGTTTGAATGACAGTTTGGTAAATCTGTTGGCGATCAAATATTCAATATCGCTACTCATCATAAGTAGGCTACTTGGTACATTATCAGCGCAGCAGGAGACGTTCAAACTAATATCATGTAATTTGCGTCTCTGTGATGATTGGTTGATATGAGAAGGGAGACTAGTCTCCTCTGCAAGGTTTCTTTTCTCAACACTCCTCAGCGCTGAAACTGAACACTCGATGCTGATTGGCTAATTTTTTTTTACCAACGGAGGCACGAGAGCTCCGTGCTCCCCCAGCCTCCCCCTACCCTTCTCTATCATTAGCGGTTGCAATTACATCAGCAGATTCGGCACATTCGCGATAGAAAAGGGGCGTTTTCACGTTATGGTATTATACAACTGTGAAATTACAAACAAAAAATACACATTCTGAGACATGAACTAAAATGAATTGTGAATTTTATTAACATTAAATCGTCTTCCTCCCATTTTCACCTCAAAATTATGGGGAAGCTGTGCCTCCCCCGACGAGCCGCCACTGCAAATAAAGTGTAATGATATTAATAAAAACAGTATTCTTCCACCAAACAATGTAGTTCCTCAGAATCAGTTTGCCTACAAAGTGGTTGCCGAGCAACACACAAAGTAAACAAAGGTGCATGTTTGTAGAGTAATTTACAACAGCTTCGAACGTTGCTCAGCCAATCAGAATCAAGGACCGGAACGATCCGTTTTATAATATTTCTTTTAGGTCTACAGAATATGAAATATGTATAACATAAACATCTCACTATGATTTCTTGTCGTTGTGCTCTCTTTCAGTTATTTGAGCTTCTGAATTTTCTGGCTGAGAACTTCATCTTTTCCTACATGGGCTTGACATTGTTTACCTTCCATAACCACGTCTTCAACCCGATCTTCATAGTGGGCGCATTCGTATCCTAAGACTATGTGAAATGAATAAATGAGCAGAAAATAAAAAGGTAGAGTAGTCAAAATGCTCTTAGCAAATGCAAAACAAATGGAAAATCTGATAGATTACTATTATTATAAAAAGCATGCGTGTGTTTATGTTGGGCGGCAGTACTTTGCTTAATGTCATCAAGGAAGTGGCAGGCTGTTGTTGTTGAGTGATGTGTCCAGGGAGTTATAGCTCATTGTGTTTCCCAGAAATCAATGGCCCAGAACCACTTTTTCATGAACCGAGCCCTCTGAAGGCCTCAGGAAGGACAAAATGTCAGTTTTGAAGAGGGTGTGGATGCTGTCAGTGCAGCAGTTGCTCCATTTTTGCAGTCACGCCTTGACACCTCTCGTCCCAGCTGGCTGTGTTTCTGGGCAGAGCGGCGAACATCTACCCTCTCTCCTTCCTGCTGAACTTGAGTCGTAGAAACAAGATCACCTCCAACTTCCAGCACATGATGATGTTTGCAGGTTTGTGCATAGAGCTGCAGGCGATTCCTTTGGCCAGCTAAGATCCAAACTATGAAGAATAACATGCCAAACCCAAAAGTCCTATTAAGGTTAAATGGGTCAGACTTGAAACCATTGTTTGTTAATTTTTTTGAATCCACTTTGTTGCTTTTTAGAACAGTGAACAGAAAAAAACCTGCATACTCAACCCAAACCAATCCCATATGGGGTTTGAAATCTGATTAATATCAGATTTTTGCAAATGTATTTCAGTCATAATGTTTTATGTGAACCAATTTTTGGTGTTCTTGCTCCACTCCTCGCCAGGTCTTCGTGGTGCCATGACCTTTGCCTTGTCAATCAGGGACACGGCCACATATGCACGGCAGATGATGTTCTCCACCACGCTGCTGGTGGTCTTCTTCACCGTTTGGATCTGCGGTGGAGGCACAACTCAGATGCTGTCCTGCCAGAAAATCCGGTCAGTTTGAACCTCGCTTTTAGTCAGAATGACCTTTTTGTGTCACACAAGTAGATTTATGGGAATGGGTAATTCATTAAACATGGCTTTTGTTCTTATTTGCATCCTTTTCCATCTCTACCCAGAGGGAATAATGTGTAAATACCATGGCATGAGTCATTTAAAACTCAAAAGGCTGAACTCATTTAACAACTAAAACTCAAATTAGAGAGGATGAAATTGTGACCAACTGTGTTTTTGTTCTGGAAGTGTTTTCATTACATTTGCTGTAATGCTGTTTTGTGTTTGGCAGTGTTGGAGTGGACACGGATCTGGAGAACTTTGTAAGTGTTTTTGGTGTGCTGTAGACAAAAGTACAGTGACTTTTTACAGCAGAGCTGTTTAATGATGGATTTCCTCTGTGTCCGTCTGCAGATCGGCCCTGATGGAGTGGAGAGGAGTAGCACTAAACAGGAGAGCGCCTGGCTCTTTAGGATTTGGTACAACTTTGATCACAAGTATCCTTTGCTGTGTAGCTCTTATTAGTAAGCTGCATAAAAAAAACAAAGACCGAATCAGATGGGAGTAAAACACCAATCCAGTCCTCCAACTTTACATGTTATATGCTAGATAGTGTGCTACAATAGGTATGTTTATGTCAGAATTTCAGATTCTGTTTCAGTTGTGTTTATATGAAACCTAAATGTTGCAAATGCAATCCCATTCACATATTTGCTTACATATTTGTCACATATTTCATGACATCACTTAAAATGGTAAATCGTGCAAAACCTTAACCCTGTTGACTTGCAGTTATCTAAAGCCCATTTTGACACACAGCGGCCCACCGCTCACCGCCACACTTCCAGCTTGCTGTGGCCCTCTGGCGCGCTGCCTCACCAGCCCACAGGCGTATGAGGTTTGTGCTTTACACACACACAGTGTGCTAATAATTATCCATAGTTCTGGATTTTCCTCTGTTATAGCTAGATTTATTTATAGGTTTATATCTGCGTACTACCAGATGGCGACAGACACAATCTGTGTTTATAGGGACGGACCCCTCAAATTCACTCTTAATTGCCATTTAATAGGCAAAATCAAATTACCCCCCTCCTAGAGCTGATTATCCACCGAGGTGTGAACAGAGAGTGAATGTGGATTGATATACTCAACAAGAGACGTAAAAGCATCTGTTATTGCTGTGTTATTAGGATAATCAGAGCGTTTCATCTATTGCAATAATTAGGTTTTGATAGTTGTATGCTTTTGCATAAATTTAACAAATAATGCGAGATGCATAAATCGTACCACTCAGCCTGTTGTTTATAAATAGTTCAGATGAGCAAATCTATGTATTATTGCTATTATTACATATGCATTTTTAATAGTTAGTATCACTTTACGTTGTTTGTTGTTTTAAAACCCAATGCTCATGACTTGAGACACTGCAAGGCATTATCTGCTTGTGTACATAGACCAGCATTTTATATCTTTTTAGTTTTTTATTGCCTCCAAGTCCTCACATTGCTCATAGCAGGCAGTGAGTTTGTTACACAAGGGTTTTAAAGACAGTGTTTTAAAGGGCTTTAGACTTTAGAGATGCAGCCACTAAAGCAAGTTAAAGCACAGAAAGCTAAAAGCTTCTCTAAGTTCATGCCCTTTGTATTACTTCAATGCAAAATAATAGTTAAATCAAATAATTGAGAATAAATTCACTATTCATCCTTGCTAATTAACTATTTCTGAGCCATCTCTAGTAAGTAGTTGTAACTGGCAAGCGATCCTCATTCCAGAGTCCACTCTTTATGAAACATATGTTATTGGACTGTGATGGTTTAAATTCCTAGTGCAGATTGTTTCATTTGGCTGATAAAAGACTTCTGAAAGCATTTTATCAGAGATGTTACATTACATATAAAAGATAATAAAAACGGCATGTTATTAAATAACCTTCATATAGACTACGGTCCAAAGGTCTGGGGTCGGTAACATGTTTTTGAAAGAAGTCTCTTATGCTCATCAAGGCTGCATTTATTTGATCCAAAATACATTAAAAATGTCTCACTGTGAAATATTATAATTTAAAATAAGTTTTGTATTTGATTATAGTTTAAAATGTAATGTATTCTTGTGATGGCAACGCTGGATTTTCAGCATTATTACGCCAGTCTTCAGTATCACAAGATCCTTCAGAAATCATTCTCATGTGCTGAATTGCAGCTCAAGAAACATTTCTTATTAATATCAATGTGGAAATCAGTTGTGCTGCTTAATATTTTTAAAGGTTCAAAAGTACTGCATTTATTTGACATTTGACAATCTTTTGTAACATTGTTGCTATCAGTTTTAATCAATTTAATGTGCCCTTGCTAAATAAAAGTATTAATTTCTTTCCAAATGGATAAAAAAGAACTGACCTGTATGCTCTTATCAGTGGTTTGACTGGAGACAATTTGGGGCAATCAAGTCTAAATTTAGTTTAACGGGGATGAAGGGTTACATTTTATGCTCATTAAAATTGCCATGTCTTCAGTGTCGCACGATCCTTCAGAAATCATTCTAATATGCTGCTAATTTGTTGCTCAAGAAACTTTATATTAGGTGGCTTTAACTACTATGTATTTACATTTAAATTAATAATTTAATACAATGCAATTATTGTGTACATGCATGTTTTTGAATTGTACTTATATTTTTAAAAACACCTGCATGTAAATACATCTGTAACTAATTTCTGTAATTACATTTATAATTACACTGTTGACCCATCCCTTACACCTTAACCCACCCTTAAACCTACCCATGCCACCAAACCTGTCCCTAACCTTACCAGCATCCCACCTCAATAGCAGCAAAAGTGTTTTGCAATTCAATATGAACACAATAAGTACATTGTACTTATTTTTTGATGTAAGTACATAGTAGTTAAGGCCACCTAATATAAAGTGAGACCCATTTATTATTCTTATCAGTGTTTAAAATAGCTGCTTAATATATTTGTGGAAACCGTGATGCATTTTTTTCAGGATTTGATGAATAAAAAAATGTTCAAAGAATAAAAGTGTCTTTACTGTCACATTTAATGTGTTTTTGATGAATACAAGCGTTAATTAAAAAAAATAAATCTTACCGACCTCAACAACTTTGAATGGTAGTGTAACTTTTATTACATTTATAGCTCATTTTATTCCCTCAACCTCATTTGGCTCCAGGATGATTCCAAGTAATAATCAGTAATAGGTTTATTAGGCTTCTTGCTAAATTATTACTCGCATACTCAAAGTCAGCTCAAATTCAAACAATGAAATCACCACTGTGTCTTTTCTCTCAGAACGAGGGGCAGCTGAAAGACAGCGACTCGGACCTGATCCTGAACGACGGTGACATCTCGCTAACGTACGGTGACATCACTGTGAGCACAGATGCTACGGGTGCTCACACGAGCGGGACGCCCGTCGGAGGAGTGGCCGTGAACTCTGACGAGGCTCTGGACCGAGAGCTGGCATTCAGCGATCACGAGCTGGTGATCCGAGGCACCCGATTGGTCCTTCCCATGGATGATTCGGAGCACCCGCTGCCTCTGGACTCCCGCCGGCACTGGCACAAGAACGAAACGATGAGTTGAACGGGGCGAGTCTCTTCTCTCTATCATGTCTCATCCAGAGTGATCTCTCTCAGCACCGCTCCTGTCTCTGAAGTGGCTGGTTTGATGTATCGTCACTCTTTCTTTAATGTCATCACAGAAATGTCAATTATTTATCCACTTCTCATTCGCAAGTGTTTACGGCCTCTAATCAGACCACTTAGCATCTGACATCACGGATCGGAAGCATGCTTTGGTTTCTCTGAGGTTATCACGACAACAGAATAAGCATACTTTTATTGTCTGTATAGCAAGGCGTAGAATTGCCGTGACCTGGCCTGCATGCTTATTTGTGTCCTCTCTTGACGTGCGAGTGCTTGTTTAGGAGATGCGAAGAGTCCGTGGCACATTCCTGTGGGTCTGATGCTTTTTACTGCCTTCTCTCATCAGGGGCGTGCTGATTGGTGGCTCTGCATTTGCTGTGCAGTTACAATCAAGTGCCTGTCAAATGTAGTTTCCCCCCTTAGAGCAAAATGACACTCTTTGCCATCCACTAGAGGGAGGCCTTGTATCTTGATACGGTTTGGTTCGTCTGAGCTGTGCAGGCAGACTCCATTCACTCTGAGTAACTTGTGTTTGGCTGTAGAGATGTGCTTGGATCTTATATTGTGACCTTTGACTGTGAATCTCTGAAGGTTTTTACGCCTTGTTTTTGGTTTTGTTCCACCCAGTCAGAAGATAGAGAGCCATTCATACAGTGCAATTTCTTTTTTGTTGTTGCAACATTTTTCTAAAATAACTAAGAAAATATATTATTTTCTTCTTTTTGTCCATGTAGTTCAAATCATTTATGAAATAAATGTCATGTTTGCGAATGTCTAAAATAACATGCGTTTACCATTGGGATGACAAACCCCCAAAAATAAAGTAAAAATTGCCCATACTTTTTGTAGTAGGGCCATCTAGGATAATGCATTGAGCAATCTGTTAAAAGAAAAAGAAAGAAATGCTAATGGGACTTGGGCTTTTTTTTATTCCTAATTTTTTGCATGACATGTTATGTGGAGAAGCATAACCTTCCACGTTCCCTCCCAAAGTCCTTTTTGTGTGTTAGCGGTTTCTAACAAATTGAAAACTCTTTATCTATCTAGATCAGTGTAGCGATTTGCACTGACACGTTGTGTTTTTTACATTGGTTGGGATGAGAGTAATTCTGTAGCTGTTCCGATTTTAGACTCATTTTAAAAGGGCTGAATGAATAAAAGAAATTTTAACGTTCACACCCATGGAAAGAAAAAAACATTTGTATTGTTCTGTCTAATGGTTTCAGGCTGGACAGGCATCTGAAAAAAACTGGGTTGGATTTGCATGCAGTTATGAATTCTGTATTAATGGCATTAGAGTAAGATCTTTACATTTAGACCTGCATCCCAATTTGCACACTTCGCATCCATAATAGAATGTGAGGATTAGAATTAATGCCTCCCAAATGTTGAACTTTTCTCATAACTTGACATATTTTTGGCAGAATATTATATATAAGGTGTTCAGCATTATTTTAAATTTGACGAGAGATAAATAGCTCCAAAACTGATATTCAATTATATTCCAATACACAAAATCATGAAAGTGAAATTACACCAATTATTCTGTTCAAAAGTTTACATATCCATGGTTCAACATATTGTTTACCTCATCGATCAACTGTGATGTGTATATACTTGATTCTCTTATGTCAGATAATGCTAGCTATATATATATATAAAAAATAAAAAATTATTCAGGGGTGTGATTACTTTGAATAAACCGTTCTTCTTTTTTAACACTCGTATAATCTATGTGCTCCTCCAAAAATACTTAAAACACGAACAATGAGAGCTTGAGTGTAAGACTAATCAGACCTGTGCACCCCAGCTTGGGCAAAGTAGCAGAAGCAAGTTGAATGGGCTTTAATGGTGGTAAATGTGCTGTTTGTTCTGGTACGTAGCTGTGTGTTAGTCACACTATGTGCAGCTCTACTCTAATGTGTTGCAGGTACTGACTGTTTACATCCGTGTAAATATTCTCATCTGTTCATGTGTGTGCAATGGTCAATAAACAGAAGCCTGTGCTTTCGATTAAATCATCTTGTATGGCTGTTTTAATCTCCATATTCCCGGACTATATTCATAAAAACTGGATCACTGCTGGAACTCTTTTCTTAGGCTTTGACATCATTCCTAAAGCAGCTGTTTGGAAGCTGTGTAAATGAAATATGTCTGATACAGCAGGGTTAATGGCCCCTAGATAAAAGGCCCTTTTGATTTGTTTTCTTCTAACACACTAAATAGCAACAAGCACCATGACAGTGCCTTTCTAAACATGCTTGCCCTTAAGCACTGAAAGTATCTTGATCCATGTGATGATTGCGCACAAGGATAAAAGATTGAATCTGAGGTCATTTGATCTAATGTTTCACATACTTTTTTAAATGTTGCCAATTTATGCAGCTTATGAGAATCACTTATCCAACTACAGTTCAAATGTGTGGGGTTGGTAAGATTTAGTTTTTACATAATTCTCATCCTCACCAAGTCTGCATTTATTTGATCAAAAATACAGTATAAAAACATTTATTATTATGAATTGTAATTTTTAAAAAATATTTTCTTTTTAAAAAGATTATAGATACATTTTTTTATTTGAGGGTATTTTGGTACAAAAGGCTTGTTAATAATTTTAAGTTTTGTTTTTACCTAGGTACCACTCTGGCTGACTTTTTAATATAAATATCATTTCTTTATTCAAAACAATTCTCATACAAAACTTTTTGTTGGATAAATATTAAATACATTATTTTAATTGTCATGGATTTTGGGACTAGAAAAAAAAAATCACCTTTTCCTTAAAGGGATAGTTCACCCAAAAATGAAAATTCTGTCATTAATCACTCGCCCTCATGTCATTCCAAACCCGCAAGACCTTCGTTCATCTTCTGAACACAAATTATTATTTTTGTTTTCTTTGCATACAAAAAGTATTCTCGTAGCTTCATAAAATGAAGGTTGAACCACTGATGTCACATGGACTATTTTAACGATGTCCTTACTACCTTTCTAGGATAGTTTCTGGGGTCATCTTAATTTGTTTTCCGAAGATGAACGAAGGGTTTGGAACGACATGAGGGTGAGTAATTAATTTTCATTTTTGGGTGAACTATCCCTTAACGGGTCTTTTAGCATGTACCATTTACTTGAATTCCTGTTGATTAATGAATCACTCTAGCTTGGTTTCTCTCGTTCACTCGTTCTGAGGAGAGCAGAAGAGCGGTCAGGCTGAAGAAGGATCAGGTAACATGTTCCTTATATGGTCAGAACTCTTAACAAGAGCACATCCTCACTGGAATCACATCCAGTCCAAAATTGACATCGTAGTCTAACAACAATGCAGAAAAAGTGATTTGTGTCCGTTTATAAGGGAACACACAGCTTCACTTTCACCCAGCCACACTATAATGAACCAGACATGCTTAGACACATCTCAGAACTAAGAATGAAGACTTTTATTCTTCACATATTCAACTAAATAAAGGGTAAAAGCCTCTCTGCTTCACAAGCACAGTACTCCGTTTTCTCAGACATCAATATTGTGACATGGCAAAGTGAACACTAATGGGTGGTAAAAAATCCATATTCACTCCAATTCTAAACTATTCTTTAACTCCTTGAATAGAGGCAGAGACTAGGTGTTCCGAGTACACAATTCAACCTTTAAAATCATGTAATTATGTACTTGACTGAATGTGTCTCAGTGCGTGGTTTTTTTTCTTCTTCTTTTTTTTTACTCAACAGCTATTATAAAAATGTGCTTGTTTGGAAGATAGAGTTAGCAAAATGTACGTAACTGAATTTCTGACCCAATTTTACTGAGATATAGCCCTTGTAACAACTAGCCCCCTGTCTTCCTATCAATGATTACTAAACAAAACATTATAGAAGGGGATTGTTTGGCTCAGTCTCTGGTGCCAGGACATAACTAAGCATAGATGTGCTGCTGCTGTCATTGATGTCTTTAATGCTGTCATTGATGTCTTTGGAGGCTCTCCAGGAACTGATGACAAGCTGGAAGTTGTTTAAAGGTGATGATATTTGTGCCCTCAGTAGTGCTCTGTTAATTCCACAACACTGTATATATCACACAAGTGTTCAGGATCTTACACTGAACCATTTATAGTTCCCCAAAAACGTTGCAGTGAACAGTTCTTAGTGTGAAGAACATAAAAATCTAAAGAACCATTTTCCTTGATGTAGAACATTTTGTGGAATGTAAAGCTTTCATGGATGTTAAAGATTCTTCATGAAACCATCAATGCCATTAAGGAACTTTTAAGAATGTACAGTACAATAACTCTGGATCATCTCTGAAAGCTCTGAAATCTTTGTGGTCTGTGTATTTTTAAGCAGGCATTTAGGGAATGTGTTCTACTAGAATAATAAAGAATCTGAAGCGACGCATTACTGTAGAATATTAAAAACTATAAACATGTTCATATTTATATCCTGAATGAATCACTAAACATGCAGAATCATGTCACATATCACAACTCACTTAAATATCTATTTTCTCTTTAGGCTTTTATACACAACTGGTTAAGCACAGAGTGAATTCCAGTCTGATGTCACTGTTGATATGAACTCAAAGTATTTGGATCATATCCTGATTTTTTTTCCCCTTTTCCCTCCCCCTTGTGGATGTTTTTAAGCCCAGTGATCCTGCAGACAAGGAGGAGACCGTCTCTCATCACCACCGCTGCAGACAGCTGCGACTCAGTGCTCACTGGTAAGTGTGATCTAGGGATAATGGAAGATAGATGCATAACTTTTTCTGCGGAATTCTTTAATAGAAATGCATGTATTTATTAGTAATATAGTAACTGATCGTCTGAAGACTAAATGACCAGGTACAGTATTTTTCTTCTGAAATAGGTAACAGGTAGACTTCACAAACTTTAGAATATGTAGCATTTGTGTTTTTATGGTGTTTAGGGTGAGTTTTCGCAAAACCTATATAAATCAAATTTTTTGTTTATTTTGTTATGTAACTGAGTTTATGAGTGCAAGAGATGACCGACTTATATCCAAACAAATGCTGAAGTTAAGCATAGTCCTTAAATCTAAATCTGCCCTAAAGGTTATTTTTCCCGAGCCACACCTGTAGAATTTCACTTTTATACTGTAAACACATTATTGCATTTGGGAAATGATTTAATTTAATGCAGTTTGTCCCATGAATTTTTTTGAGAGTCAGGAATGCTATTGGAATTCTTATTGGGATCAAACTCCTTCAGGAAAAAAAACTCCTTTACAAAAGTGACATAAGATCCTGCTGAATAGACAAATTATTATTATTGTTATTATTATGTATCTATTTGATAAATGAAGTTAACCAACTAACATTATACATACTCTTTTGGTTTCTTTACCCAATATTTAAAAACTTTACAAATGCAATAAAAATATTGGTATCGGTACTCGGTATCGGCAAGCACAAAAAAATAAAAGTATCGGTATCGGGCGAGTACTGGAAAAAGTGGTATCGGTGCATCCCTAATTATTATTATTATTATTGTTGTTGTTATTATTTTGATTTTGTTCAGAATACAGTTTATCCAGCAGAAGATCATTTTATTCTTCAAGGATTCTTATTTATATTATAATCAAATATAATACTATTATATAGTAACTGACTTCTAAATAAAACCACTTAAAAAAAAATTTTCAACTGACTTCAGGATTTAAAAAAATTAATAGTATTATGATTATTATGAATGTTATTATTATTCTAGTTTTTGGGAAAAAAAATTAAGGATACTGTGGCAATTTTTCCTTTGGAAGCATTTCTCATTTCCATCCGACTCACATCCTGTGTATCTTATACACTGCATGCACATTACACCTCTGTTCATGTGGCTTTTTAACCTGAAAGCATCAGAAGTAAAGTGGCTTTACAGAATGTTTGTGTCCGTAGAAATCATCCTGCCATATAAGGACAAATTTTTGGGGGGGATCCCACACACCGTATAATCAGTTATGGAAACACTTCAGCTGAACAGTCTCAGTCTCAACTTTGTAATCCACTAGGTCAGTGTGTGTATATGTCTAAAACTCAACATTTTCTTTGGAGGTCCTAATTAGGAAATGCGGGGCTCTGTAGACTGCGCAACTTCATTCGGTCCACTTGGGGCGCCACATCTCTCCTGTCCTCCACTGCTCTCCCTGATCTCCACTTATGATTGGTGACACACTTCAAGCTAAACTGTAAACATATATGAACCCTATCAACCCCACTGTACGTAAATAGATTCAAAGACCTCTAAAATATCTACATGATGAAAACTTTGCTGGAAAAGTTTCAAAGTCTCCTGCATGCCTTTTACCGTCTGATTGATAGTTTATACTTTTAGTGAGTAAAAGTCCTTTTAGTATAATTATAAAAATGTCCACCTCCAGGTTGTGGTTCATATGTCTTTTTGCTTCTTGTACTTGTACTTGTACTTGGTCAATGAGATGGAAAACACTGGTATGCTGACCTACCGCACACATGTTGTCATGTTCCCTAACAGTGTGAGCTCTGGGCGGTCATCAAATGAGTCACTGGTCTGTGAATAGTATTGTGATTAATTGGCTGGATTTATTATCGCAACTGAGAGGCTTTTGAGACACATTCCTGGAAAGTCTGAAAGCAGAGCTGTCTATTTTGTTTACTTGGTTCATTCCTAATTGAATAGATTTAATAGATGCCAGAATCCAAGTAACACTTGTAAGCTGAAATGCACAAGATCTCTGGCGAGAGATCAAATTAATGGTCCATTCTGGTCCATTCATTTTTATGAGCCATAATAGTGCTGTTGTTTTCCAAACTGCCCCAAACTTCCAATTTATTGTTACCTCACATTCTTCAACGAATGCATCATATCCAGATGAACAAGAGCCTACAGCAAATGTTTTCCTTCACATCAACACTGACCCACTCTTATGTTAGTATCTTCCTCATCCTCTTCACAAGTTGATTCTTCAGGTCGTAGGTCTTGCCAACAGTCTGCAGATTCCTGTAGCAGGCCTTCAGCTGTGATCTGCTCTCTAGCAGGTTTAGATAAGAGATGAGAGGGGGTTGTTTTAGTGCATGATGCCAGCTTGCTATTTCAGGCTTTAGTAGAGGACACTGTTTCCATTGTCCACACTGGGTCAACACTGACCACCAAAGAGTCATTTCTACGACATTTCATCCAGACAAACAAAAACACGTTTTCTCTACACCTCATACATATTCTATAATATAGAGGTTCTAAAAAGTCACATTTTAAAATATCCAGACGGAATGTAAAATATAAGACCAAGTGGCATCTACAAACGATTGATGATAGAATCACTGTTCTCAGGACTTACTACTTTTCAAAATATATTTTAAGTGTGAAGGCTGTTGTGTGTGCCAGTGATAGAAATGCACAGCGGTTTGGTGTGAATAATGTGTCCAGAAGTCCTGCAGTGTTGATCTTCCAGATGAGATGTTTGTGGGTGAGTTCAGATGGCTTCAGTCCTTTCATGGAAATCATTTGTTCCTGTAGCCTTTACTCAACTCTGCAAAATGAGTTGTATGTAATCATTTGTGTGTTTTGGGATAATGTCATAGATATTTGTAAGTCACTACAGGAATCTTGAAGCATAGTTGTCTTTTATACATCACAATAATCAACCTGAAAACTTTTCGAAATGAGAACAGCGCTCCGTTTTATTACAAACACGGTTTAGCTCAAATGGTCAAAAGTCCAGTTCATAGTGAGTATCAAAGGCATCTGAGGTCAGTTACACTTGTGTGTGTGTGTGATAGCTTCCTCTTAAAACCCTTGAGACGTGGCATTTGAGAAGCAATGAATCTTTCAGTGTCCACTTTTCCCTGATTCCCAGTTTCTATTGTTTAAACAGACAAGCCAAAAGCAATACAAAGTTTATTTCACAATATAAGCACTGATAAACAAAGTAGTTCTAGGTGAACTCATAAAGTACTGGAATGGCCCTTAAGTAACTAATCCGTTTCAGAACAAGCACAAAACCTCAAGCCTCTCCGATCCACCAGATCCAATGAAAGGCTGTGAAAATCCCTTTATTCTGCTCTCTGATGTCACAAGCAAGGAATTCAGATGAATTCAGTTCCCTCTCTCTGACTCCCCTCCCCTTCACTTATCTTTTGCAGCATAGCCTAACATGGAGAGGGCAGCTGATGCTTTGGTTGGGATTGTTGGGTTTGGGAGGACAGGCCATGGGTGTGGTGGGCAACTGGGGGCAGGGGGTAGGTTTTAAGGGGCAGCTGGGGTTGTATATATGACAAATAACTCGAAGAGAAGAGTGGAGTTCCCCTGTAACACTCTGGCTGTTTGGTTCTCTCCATCCATCTTTCCATCTTTCATTTCCTCAAGGATTTCCTGTATTTCCTGAAAGCAGATATGACTTTCCACAGGCACTCAGGTAAAGATGTACAGACATAAAGCTTTCTGGTGATTCTCCTCATGTGCATCCATTGGCACTTCTTTTGCTGGATATGGTTTATAGCTGAACTTTCACTACTATTCAAAAAAATTGGTTTCAGTATATATTTTTTTTAAACATTGATGATAAGAAATGTTGCTTGAGCAACAAATCAGCATATTAGAATGGTGATAATGCTGTCAATTCAGCTTTGTATCACATGAATAAATGACATTTTAAAATAGAAAACAGTTATTTTAAATCGTAATATTATTACGTAAGATATTACTGTTTTTACTGCATCAAATAAAAGCAGATTTGGTGAGTATACGAGATTTCTTTCAAAAACATGTAACATTTTTAACAACCCCAAACTTTCGAATGGTGGTGTATATGTTGTTTTGTGATTTGGTATGCCCATATGTGATTTGTATATGAAAATGCATTGGCTTTGCATGTATTTAGAGGGGTTTCCAGTAACGTTTGTTTAATATTTCCAGTATAGAACTATATTTATCTTATTTGAAGGCCTGTGCAATATCAGTATCAGACAATCTTAGCTAGCCTGGTATAACCCAATGTAGCAAATATTTCTTTATCTGTGTACTTTTGATGGTGAGCTCAGGTAGCAGCTGTATGAATGTGGTCTTAATCTAGACCACTTTAGTCTAAGTCAAGATAGTGCTCAAGCTAATTCATCGATTCAACACAATCAGAGTCTTTTCTCATGATTTATTTGGACTACATTTGTTAGTGTCAAATATAGGTGCATCAATCAATGTTTGCTTTAATGTGGTTACTGTTCTCCGCATGGCTGAATCTGATCTCGCGTTGACCTTTTGAGCAGCATTTGCTCTTCGCTTTGGGACAAAGTGGCCCATTTGATAACACTCTGACAGAGCTAGCTAAAAATGAACAGCTGATGGACGGTATCCCAAAAGGCTTAAGGATTGAGCATACTGATCTTTCAGTTCCCAGAAGCCACAACACTAATGCTTGTATACATCTGAAGTCAGAGGAGAGAACGCAGGAAACTGGCATTACTAAATAGACTTACTGAATCTAGATGTCTTTTCCACAGATTCAGTTGTGTTGGAAGTTTCACCCAGATTGTCTTCTCTTTGGCAGTATTTTGTTCTATATTAGGATATACTATACAATTTTAGGTCAAGGCTTAATCTGTGGAATTTCTGTCACATCATTCACTAATATTAATCGTCATTGTTGGGAACATTGGAATCAAATGTTAGAATGTCAACTCAGTGGGGGAAACTTAGATTTTTAGACTTTTTTTCACTTCCACGTTGCATTTCTGACCCGTTTCGTTTCAAGAATCATGTTATCGTTTTGATTGAATAAGTAGAATTTAATGAATGTAACCATAACGACGACTATATTTACTTATAAGGGCTAACAATAGGATGTTGACTGGTAAGAATGAGTCTGTACTCTAAAAATACAGCTTCATTTATCAACATCTAGAAAATTCAGCTTTGGCACTATCAGAGGTGAAGTGTTGGTGGCCACATCTGTGGAGTGATTTGGCCTCTGGCTTTTCAAGCAGACTTTCCTAAGTTGTTTGGCATGCGGTTGCTAAACTGTGTTTACAACAGATGCAGACGTGCAGTCAAAACATTTAACATCCTAACAATATCTTGCATCCCAAGGGACACTGGTCAATTTAAGTCAGGACTATTGGCTATATGTGCTGATCAGTGCTAAGTGCAACACTTTTTATGATCTATATAAAAGAGTAGCTGTCCATGTGGCCTCTCAGTTATTTCAAGAGTATTTAGAAAACATAATCTGTAATCGAAATCTGTAATTCCTGAAGTTCATTTAAAAGTCCCTCCCAGTCAAATCAGTTCCTTTAGCCAATTCTTGTTATTGCGTTATACTGGCCTCTTGCGGTGACTTGATATATTATAATAATCACTAGACACTTTAAAGAACATGTAGCACTGAATAGAGAGAGAATCATGTAGTCTCTACTTGATCAGTACTGTAGAACAAAATGATGAATGTTAAAGTGCTCCAATATTCTGGTACAGGTCAGTTCTCATCACTGTAGGTGTGGCATGGAGTGGGAGAGACCACAAATTTAGGTTATATCACATACCAAAATATATTTCAAAATGTATTTCAGGGGCAAAACATACATTTCCATTTTTTTTGGATGTATGTGAATGTATTTTCTTGGATTTAAATATACAGAGGGCAAAATAAATATAGCATATATGTTTTTACATTTTAAAAACATTATTTTGCCCTCCATATATTGAAAAAATGGCAATAATATATTGATACAAAACCTATTTATGTAAATATAATTTAATATTTTAGGAAATATATATTTTGTGTAGTTTAAAATGGAAGAATATATTAGATTTTTTATTTCATTTATTTATTTTTTGCTGAGTGGGAATGAATCATTTAACCACCAAATTGTTCAAACTGTTCAGATGAAAAGTCATCATATCTTGCCTCGCAGAACCATTGATACTCTCATCCTAATTTGACGATTCTAATATGATTTGTTTAAAAAAAAAATTACATGTTATAAACGTATGGTTTTGGCAGTCAGTTTTATATTTTGCATTTGTTTTGTCCCTGCAGGCCCCCACAGCTATCTGAGCTCCACCATGACCGATCGTTTCGACTGCTTCTACTGCAGAGACAACCTGCAGGGCAAGAAGTACGTCAAGAAAGACGACAAGCCAGTGTGCGTGCGCTGCTTCGACAAGCTCTGCGCCAACACCTGCGCCGAGTGTCGCAAACCTATAGGTGCTGATGCAAATGGCAATAATATATTGGTACAAAACCTATTTATGTAAATATAATTTAATATTTTAGGAAATATATATTTTGTGTAGTTTAAAATGGAAGAATATATTAGATTTTTTATTTCATTTATTTATTTTTTGCTGAGTGGGAATGAATCATTTAACCACCAAATTGTTCAAACTGTTCAGATGAAAAGTCATCATATCTTGCCTCGCAGAACCATTGATACTCTCATCCTAATTTGACGATTCTAATATGATTTGTTTAAAAAAAAATTACATGTTATAAACGTATGGTTTTGGCAGTCAGTTTTATATTTTGCATTTGTTTTGTCCCTGCAGGCCCCCACAGCTATCTGAGCTCCACCATGACCGATCGTTTCGACTGCTTCTACTGCAGAGACAACCTGCAGGGCAAGAAGTACGTCAAGAAAGACGACAAGCCAGTGTGCGTGCGCTGCTTCGACAAGCTCTGCGCCAACACCTGCGCCGAGTGTCGCAAACCTATAGGTGCTGATGCAAAGGTGGGGGTGTTGAATGAAGAAAAATCCTTTTAAAGAGCATTTTACATTGTGCAGAGCTAACAGTGCTTTCTATCCAGGAGCTGACCCATAAGAACCGCCACTGGCACGAGGGCTGCTTCCGCTGTGCCAAGTGCTACAAGCCGCTGGTCAATGAGTCTTTTGCTGCCAAAGACGATGGCAAGATCATGTGTGGGAAGTGTGGAGACCGTGACGGATCGCCTCGCTGCCAGGGCTGCTACAAAGTGATTACGCCAGGTGTGTGCACATAAACACCTTTTTTCCCACACAAAATGTGTTGTAAATGACAGCAAAGTTCTGGTGTTTCTCTGTAGGATCTAAGAATGTGGAGTACAAGCATAAAGTCTGGCATGAAGAGTGTTTCATCTGCTTTGAGTGCAAGCAGCCAATCCGCAGCCAGAGCTTCCTGACCAAGGGTGATGATATGTACTGCACTGCCTGCCATGAGAAGAAGTTTGCCAAGAACTGTGCCCGCTGCAAAGAGGTCAGTAAACCGTATACTGAAGGACTGCACTGTTGAAAGACTTCATAGATGGAACAGAAACACAACTTTAGTGTTTGCGGCTATTACGGTGCAGTACAAATTCAGGCATAATGCACAGTCAGACGGCCATTATTGCAAAATTAATTTTGATGCAAACTATTATACGGGTACGTGGCAAACAAATTACTTCGAATTTTGGGGTTGGTAAGATTTTAATGTTTTTGAAAAAAGTCTCTCATGTGCATCAAGGCTGCATTTATTTGATCAAAAATACAGTAAAAAGTGTAATATTGTAAAATATTTTTGCAATTTAAAGTAACTGTTTTCTATTTGAATATATTCTAGTGTAATTTAATTCCTGTGATGCATAGCTGAATTTTCAGGATCATCATTCCAGTCTTCAGCATCACATGATCCTTCAGAAATCATTCATGTATGCCGATTTGCTGAAACATTTCATGTAACAATTTTATCAATGTTGACAACGGTTGTGCTTCATATTTATATGAAAACCTTGATACACTTTGTTTTTCAGGACTCTTTGATAAATAAATGTTCTTTTAAATGTTCCATAAAAAATAAAAAAAATCTTTGGATCAGTTTAATGCATAAAAAACGCCTCACTGAACACAAACTTTCACTATTACAATCTATTACTATTGCTAGTAAATTTCACAAATGTTTACAGAGAAACAGCAATCAACATGTTAAATTAAACATGAGGTTTGAAGTGTTCTTGTAAAACCAAAAATTATTTTCCTATAGCCTAGTATACATGGAACTCTATTTTGCTTTGTAGTAAATGAAGTCATTGCAGAGTTAACTGTTGCTCATCTTGTGTCGGTTGAATGAACGACTCTTGAAACGGCACACAGACAATCAAATTCAGAAGACAAGAACTAACCATTCCTATCAGGCATGTTCTGAAGCCTCTGTACTTTTGTCTGATCTGTCCTAATAATCAGGCTATTAGCAGTGGTGGAATCACCTATCAGGACCAGCCCTGGCACTCTGAGTGCTTTGTGTGTAACACGTGCAAGAAACCTCTGGCTGGAGCTCGTTTCACGGCCCATGAAGATCAGTTCTACTGTGTGAACTGCTATAAGGCTGATGTGGCCAAGAAATGCTCTGGATGTCAAAATCCCATTACAGGTATAATCTGCAAATCTGTCCCAGTATTAAAGAATTCTTTTTTTCCCCACAATTACAGAAAACTTGTGAAGTGAAGTGACGTGACGTACAAGGGTTGTGCTTCATATTTAAATGAAAACCTTGATACACTTTGTTTTTCAGGACTCTTTGATAAATAAATGTTCTTTTAAATGTTCCATAAAAAAAAAAAAATCTTTTGATCAGTTTAATGCATAAAAAACGCCTCACTGAACACAAACTTTCACTATTACAATCTATTACTATTGCTAGTAAATTTCACAAATGTTTACAGAGAAACAGCAATCAACATGTTAAATTAAACATGAGGTTTGAAGTGTTCTTGTAAAACCAAAAATGATTTTCCTATAGCCTAGTATACATGGAACTCTATTTTGCTTTGTAGTAAATTAAGTCATTGCAGAGTTAACTGTTGCTCATCTTGTGTCGGTTGAATGAACGACTCTTGAAACGGCACACAGACAATCAAATTCAGAAGATAAGAACTAACCATTCCTATCAGGCATGTTCTGAAGCCTCTGTACTTTTGTCTGATCTGTCCTAATAATCAGGCTATTAGCAGTGGTGGAATCACCTATCAGGACCAGCCCTGGCACTCTGAGTGCTTTGTGTGTAACACGTGCAAGAAACCTCTGGCTGGAGCTCGTTTCACGGCCCATGAAGATCAGTTCTACTGTGTGAACTGCTATAAGGCTGATGTGGCCAAGAAATGCTCTGGATGTCAAAATCCCATTACAGGTATAATCTGCAAATCTGTCCCAGTATTAAAGAATTCTTTTTTTCCCCACAATTACAGAAAACTTGTGAAGTGAAGTGACGTGACGTGACATGTGGCCAAGTATGGTGACCCATACTCAGAATTAGTGCTCTGCATTTACCCATCCAAAGTGCACACACACCGCAGTGAACACACATACACACCGTGAACACACCCCCGGAGCAGTGGGCAGCCATTTATGCTGCGGTGCCCGGGGAGCAGTTGGGGGTTCGGTGCCTTGCTCAAGGGCACCTCAGTCGTGGTATTGAAGGTGGAAGAGAGTGCTGTACATTCACTCCCCCCACCTACAATCCCTGCCGGTACGAGACTCGAACCCGCAACCTTCTAACCATTAGGCCACGACTTCCCCTTGTAACACTTACTCTACAATACATTAAAGGGTTAGTTCACCCAAACATTTTAATTCTGTCATTAATTACGCACCCTCATGTCATTCCAAACCTGTAAGACCTTCATTCATCTTCAGAACACAAATTAAGATACTTTTGATGAAATCTGAGAGCTTTCTGACACGTTCAAGGCTCAGAAAGGTAGCAAGGACATTGCTCTGAAGATGAGCAAAGTTCTTACGGGTTTGGAACGACACAAGGGTAATTCATTGTCTTTCTGTGTTCCAGGATTTGGCAGAGGGACCAACGTGGTGAACTACGAGGACAAAACCTGGCATGAATACTGCTTTAATTGCAAAAAATGCTCCCTCTCCATGGCCCACAAGCGCTTTGTCATTAACGGAAATGACATCTACTGCCCTGACTGTGCCAAAAAGCTGTGAGGGCCTGATACAGCTGATTAATGAGCAATTAAGATAGAAATTATGAAATGAGTTGAAATCTCGCAAAGCTTTGAGTGTTCAAGTTAAGAGAAACCAGTGAGGGTGTTCGCATTGATAAATCACTGGAAGATTGAGATTATTTTCATCAAGTTCTTGGAGCAGATAATGAGTGCTATATGAAGGGCTTTTCTTATGCAAAACATATTACTGCAATCATAAATGCAATCGCTGGATTTACAAACCTAACAATGCATTTTAAGCTTCAGTTGTTGCAAAGCTATGGTGAAACTGTGTGATGTTACAATAGGAATACAACATGCATTTAGTAAACTCATTTTGCTTTGTGGAAAAAATGTTTGATTAGTTTCTGGATAATGCCTTTGAAATGTTTTTATGCAAGTCATTCTGTTAATATGAATGAAAAGAGAGACAAACTAATGAACAGATTCAAACCATTGAGCATAAAATAATAAATGACTCCAAACATTTATCTTCCAAAACTTTATTTTAACAATTTATATTTTCCCAGTACACTTTAGATATATTTACAAATATAATTTGGGGTCAGGGTTATTTCAAAACAAGAAACTGCTCAAACAAAAGCAGATCCCATTCATGAGCCTGTTCGAGGAGATTGATTGTCATATCCGAGGTAAGCTCACGTGACACGTTAAGGTATTAATATATGAAAATAAAATACAGCCCATTCAGCATCTAAGGCACAGTCCTATTCTACCCCTGTATTGAGTACTCAACATTAAAGAGCAGTTTTAGTTCTGATGTATAAAGCGCAAAGGGCTCTAAAGGTCCCATTAGTGGAAACATCTGCATTAGAGTAAACTCGTCTGAAAGTGGCTGTGTTCGTGTATTACGAAAGCAAACGCAACTAACACATACACACACGCCTCAATGATTGGGGCTACACCACACCATGAAGCAATTTTGGAAATGTAAAGTGTTATGAGTATAAATGGCCAAAACCGAGGGAATCCCAATGATCTCAATGAGTGCTGGTCACTTCTAACCTCCACAAACACTTTTCCACTGGAGTCTTAAGAGCCTGAGTCCAAAAGCAAGAAAGTGACTATTATACAACAAAAGATAAAAATCACAGAAAGCGGTTGCATATAAAATAATAGAAGAACATTAAATACATATTGAGGGATCTACAGTATTTCTAAATGTGGATGGAATGATACAAATAAGGAAAATTTACTTGTCAGTTAACCACAAACTCGACTCAACTGTTTCTTTAAGCTTTGTGGCCTTTAACTGGTCTGTGAATAATATTTCAAAAGGAAACAACATTTTACACAACTACAGTACACAAAGCCAACTGAACTCTTCAAGCATATGGAGGCCAATCAGTCTGGACATTTGAATCCGCAGTCATATGCCAAATCACACTTCCCCTAAATCCTCTAGCTGCAAATGTAAATCGCAATTCTCAACCTCAATGAGAGGCAACATGCTTAATGGATTCTCTGCAAACATCCCTGTTCAAACTCAAAGCAGCTTCATAATCAAATAGCCCTCTTGACTTCGCTTGTAACCCTCAGTTCACATTCTTTTTTCCAACTCACTTCACACTCTGTTCAAAAACGCGTGCTAGTGCGGTGTAGTTTGTTACATCTGGCCTGTTAGATTAGCAACAGCTTTTCTTACAGTACAGTGCTGTACCACACTATACAGTACACTAACCTGCTGCCTAGCTCTTATTCCCAACCACAAGAATAGCCAGACAGCCTAATACTGATTACATAATACTTAGAAGAGTTTTAAATATATATTTATGCATTTTTAAAGAGATAACTAAATTTATTGTGATTATTCAGGCCATGAATGGATGCGAGGACTAACAGTAACTGTATATACACGAGGAAACATCAGGACCTGATAGTACAGTACAACCCTGAGGGGACTTTGGGCATTGGAGAATATGAACTCATTCAAGTTTAGCCACTGGAACACGTTTCCTCAAACTCCAGGGAACAGAAACATGCAGAAAGTGTGCAAGTAGGAGTTACAGTAATTCTCTGTGTTATGTTATGCAATATATTAGCAGATAGATTCATGCAGACATATTGAGGGTCACTTAAATTAGATATTTGCTAACTAGTCATATTTATGTACAGGCAGAACAGGATATCAACAATACAGGTATTTACTATAGAACAGGAACGAACATAAAAACCTCATTAAACAAAAGTGTTACATCAGTCTGCATTGAGCCCCATCATCCTTCAATCTCAGAGCTCAAGGCAGTATGAACATGTTTGCACTCCATTTGAATTAGAATCAGTCTGGTTAACGGTTTTAATGAAACATCTCGAGAGAGATTTGCTATCTACAAGTGTTACACAGTAGGAATGCTTAAGTTGTTGCACAGGGGATATAGTGTTAAACACTATACAGTGGTGATGTTTATGCCTTTAGAGAGGAGAAACAGAAGCTTAGAGGAAAATATCCTGAGGTCACATTAAAAGCACATCAGAACAGGAGAGTTGCTGCACTAGCAGCCCGTCTAACCTCATGCTTCTATGTTGGATCACATTCCTGAGCTCTGCTCAACAGTTCAGACACAGGGTTTTAATTAGTTCGTCTGTGACTGGAACCAATGTCAGCTGAAGATATGTGAGAGTTTCCTTTTTCAAAATGCTTCACACTGACTCGACCAACCAGATTATTCAACAAAACGCTAAAGTTGAAGCTATAACGAATTCATATGTGCCACGTGAACCTACGTGAATTTAGCAAAAAAGTGCACGTGGTAACCGTCAAGAGACAGCAGTCGTTTAAATGTGAAGAAGCCGCATGAATAAATAAGTTGTCTCCACATTTAAAAGACAAACAAAACAAAACAAAAAACATTTAAGAAATGTATGGAAAAAAACTAATCCTGATGTCAATATTATAAAGATGTAGAGCTGATAAACGAAGCAAGCACACTGAAGGAATCTATCATTTTCCCTGAAGCATTTCTTTAGCTTGTAACATCCAACTTCTCTTTATTTTTTCTTGCCTTATCCGTCTATTATCTGCAGAGGCTGTGCAGCACTGTGCGCTTTCCCTGGCTGTCCAGACGAGTCTGAGCGCTGACACTCTGAGGCTCAGCTGGACGTGACTCACGGAGTGCAATAATCAGCAGGCCTTAGACAGACCTGCGCATTCACATCTCTGAGAGAACAAGAGAAACATGAGGTAAAATCAATATAAACACCATTCAGAAGACTTGAGAGTAAAAAGCCCTTACCAGACAGGGCTTCAATGGGCTGGGCTGGATGAATTGAGCAGGTTTTCTCATCGAAGGCCACTCTAGGGCCCTCAGGGCTCCCATCGTCCATCAGGGGTTTGCTCTTCGCATGAACACCCAGATCAATCAGCTCCTCGAAGCTCCAGGATCCTCCTTTACCATTCAACCCTTGCACCAGGTTCACTTTAGAGTCCTCGTTCACAAACTCTGAGCCCTCCATCAGACAGGACTTAGGAGGTGGGCTGCTGGAGATTAAAGCACAAATGTAAAAGTTGACATATGCACCACTAGTGTAACCCAGATGAAACTAGAGTAAATGAAGTCATTTTTGTACCTGTCCACTGAGGGATCCTCTGTGCTGGGTCCATTGCTGTTCTCTTTGTTGTCCACATCTGTTCGTGTGTTCATACTAATAACTGGCCCGACTTGCTCTGTGACTGGCTCCTCCACAGATAAGTGATGCTCCTGAGAGTCTGATGGCTCTGTCTTCTTGGCATTCTGCTCTGATTCAACAGCCTCATTCTCTAAATTTGAATGAGACAGATTAATTATTCAGTCCTACATTAGGGATTCACAATATATTGAAATAAAATTGTGACATGTCTTAGTGTGATTATCAAACTGCAAAGGGTGTGATCTAATTAAATAAACATAGGCTCAGAGTGAGGCGCAGCACTGTGTTCATTTACACACAAGCAGCTCATGTTATGGTGTTTTCAATGGCTTCAGTTTGCAGCAAATGCTGCTTTATTCTCTACATGCACTGCGCCATTCATTTCAACAGATTTGTCATGAGAAGCATTTATAAATTGGTTCGGCAAAACAGAAACTTTATAGGATTCCTGGAGCTTTTTGTCAAAATGACAGCTCAATGGCTTTATTAAATAATAAAAATCACAATACAAATTATAATTATTTTAAAGCCAAATTGATTGAGTCAAGACACACCCAAAGAGTTTTTGCAATATGTATAATATATAATATTGCAATGTCAGTTTTTCCAGTATTGTGCAGCAGTATGTTACATATAGTGAGAGATTATATCTTGTGACTTTCAGCATTGGCTGTCTTTTTGAATTTGCTTAGTACATTTTTTGTAAATACTGTGTAAAGCAGGTGTTCAGTTTCATTTCAGCAATTCTCCTATAACTTGTCACTTGCTTGTCAGTGAACCATTAGTCATCTGCTACATAGAAACTCACTGTTGTTGCCAACAAAATAATATTCTGCCATTTCTGGCATAAACTGACCCTTATTTTCACAGTTTATTTGGTCCTCAGCCTCCTCTCCATCTTCATCAGGAATGTCTTTCTCATCATTACTCTGAGAGAACACACAGACACAACATAAGTAACTGCTTGGGAGTTGAAATGATGCGTAACACGCAGATACATCATGCCTCAATTCTATATAACAAGCCATAGGCTATAAAATGAAAGCTGGTAAACTTGCCTTAAAATCGATTTGGTCTGTTTTTCTGGTTCTCTTCATAATTTCTTCAATTCTCTGCAGATGGAGACAGAACATTGAAGCAACTTGCACGATTCTTTAAACTACAGCTGCTACCTTAAATTCAAATTGTGTAAGTGTCAGTGTCATGTGATGGCGTTGCCGTTTACCTTCTTTCTCTCCATGCGCTCCTGTTGGTTCTGTTGCATAATGCGTGCTCTCTCCTGACGCTGCCTCTCTGCTTCCTCTTGAGCCTTTGCTTCAGCCTCCTCGCGCTGCCATTGAATAAGCAAGGAGTCAATTATTCAAACAGAGCAGCTCTATTGGGGTTTCTGTGCAAGAGGACGGTCAACGCACCTCTTTATCTAGCTCGGCCTGTCTTTGCTGCTCCTCCTGCTCCATTCGCTGTCTCTCCTCCTCTGCTATAAGAGCCTGCTCCTCCTCTTCTCTCTTCCTCTCCTCCGCAAGCCTCTTCTCCTCCTCTGCACGCCTCAAGCGCTCCTCCTCCGCCAGTCTCTTCTCCTCCTCTTTCCTCAGCCTGTCGAGACATGATACCTCAGGGCCTCTGGCACTTCAAAAGTAAATAGTTTTAACACACCAAGCTGATGATCACTTCAGCTTTAATGACTGCACAACAAGCCTGCTCTTACAAACAAGAAAAACAAGAATACGACTACAAACTAATGTCAGTGTTTTTGTTCTGATTCTCCTGAGTAATTGTAGGTTTAAGATCATAATACTTATATATTATTTGGCTAGTATATTCGGAAGTAGTCAAAGGAGAATCGTGTGCATAGTAGTGTCAAAGCAGGTTCCTGACACTGAAACAACACTGAAGCTTATCAAATAAACACACCTCTCCTCTTCTTCTTTCTGTATGCGGAGTTGCTCTTCTTTCTCTTTCTGCTCGCGTGCTAGACGTCGGTTTTCCATCAGGATCTTAGAAGCCTCTGCAGCAGAGTTATTTCCTGCGACAGCTTTGGAACTGGATTCTGTAAACACATATACATTACGCATATTAATATTAACTTTGCAATTATTTATAGTTAATGAATTACTTTTTTCTATAATAATAAACAATAGAATGCATTGACAGGGAAAGTCTCTTTCACAAAGTAAAATTATAATAGATTTATGTTTCCAGCAGAGGGCACTGCGTCTCAAGGATAACCCTGCACACTGTATACAAACTCAGTAACCCCAGCAGCATCTGACCTTGTTAGTAGGTACCTAAAGGCATTCATTACACAAAAGGTGTTGGTTTGCTGCTGTAATAACTCAAAGGCTTTGTTTTGGCCAGACATTTGGCAAAGGCAGGAAGCAGTAAAAAGATGAATCATTTTCAAAGCTTATTTCCTATTAAACATTAGATGAAAGAAATGACCTTCTTCATCATCATGAATGTAGCACTTGGCAGAGGATCTTATATGTGCTGTAAGGTACATTAAGGGGAGTCTGAAATGCAGTACTGTACTGAAACCCATCATGCTTCATCTTCAACAAAATTTCTGATAAACTTCACACTTTAAATTCATAATTTAAATTTTTCCCATTGATCCTGAGAGAAATGTCAATTAAACTACAAAATTAAATTCTAGTTAGAATTTACAATCAACAATAGGTTGTTTGCAATCACGTGATTCTGATGATGCGCGAAATGCAGCTGGAGGGCAGGAAGTGATTTTTCTCCATAGAAATCACTAGCAGAAACTCAAAATGCCAGCATTTTGCATTGTCTATGGATGCTCAAATCGGACAAACCGAGAAACCACAAGAAGCTTTTATCGTGTACAAAAATGTGTTGCTCATAAGGGGGGTAAATTCAAGAATTTGACTGAAAAACACTGGAAAAAGTGGCTTGTAAACCTGCGTCTGCGGTCGGGAGGAGCGGAGCCGGATAATGCTTGTGATTAGTTGCTTAGCCTATATCCATCGCCTTAACGGCAGGCAAGTATTTCAATTTAGTTTAAAAATCGCTCCTTTTTATAACAGAAGGATCACGTCCAACATGTTGTGATTATCAATACCTTTCTCTTGTAATAGCGTGGTGGTTGAAGAGAGATCCCCTCATACGA